CTGCTGGGAAAACAACAGGTCCAGCAAGACTGGAGTTTTTTTAGCGACTTGCAAAATAGAGGCCAAGAGTCATGAGCATTGGAGCAGCTTTAGTTTGTCAATGAGTAACTCCCTGGCCAGGGAAGCAGGCTGGCAGAGGTACTGCAGGTAACTTGAACTTTTGGAGCAACAGTGAAGAGCCCCAGAACAAGCTGTGCTGTGTTAAGGCACGGCAGGTTACACCTGAGAAACGTACTGCACAATTCTGCCAGGCTGGTACAGGTGGCCCCCGCGTGCTCCTGGCCCCGCTGGGTCTCGGCGCTGAGCGGGACCGGCGCGCTTGGATCCACACGGTCACTTCATGACAGAAAAGGCCACAAACCCAGAGATTTTTTATAAAAGCTCCCTCCGCTCCTTACTGTAAACCACTTCCCCGAACCGCTGTGCTCACCCTTCTCATCCTTCATTTCGGACGGGCTGCTCTCATCGACATTCTCCAGCAAGGCGGCACGCTGCAGCGCCAGCTCTGGCAGCACCAGGAGGCAAAGCGTGTTCTGCTCGGGGCAAGGCCTGGGTTTCACATTTGCATCATGCTGCTGCTTCCAGGCAGGGTATTTCACACAGGCCTTGTGCAGATTCTTTACCACCTGACCAGGGGCAGGGAAGCACAGAGGGAACCAACCATGGAAGCTTAGGAAAGGTCTTGGCACATGTCTCATCCAACATTCTTCTAGGTGTTGACCTACTCCGTTTCTTCTCTGGCTGCTTAGGAGGGGCTCAGGGCCCACTACAGAGAAAGGCAGAAGGCTGATTTAACTCCTTGGGATCATCTTCTGCTTGCCCGGATCCCTGACGACGCCAGCTGCTTTAGGAGAATGAAACTGAACCTCCTGGAGGGAAATCCTTTGTCCCTCTCCTGCTCTGGCAGCAGAGAACCCCCTGGCACTGCTCTACCACTCAGCTCAGGATCTCCAAAAGCTCCTGAGCTTCAAGAGCCTCTTCAGACAGGGGTGTCAGGCAGGTTACTGCCCAAGCAGAGACCAGAGTTGTCGTGTTATTCATATCCCCCCCGGCTTTGGAAATGAATCCAAAGAGTTGTTGCACTCTGGATTATGAACAGAATTTCTGCTGACTGCATCACCCCATCACCACATCCCGAGCCCCGCAGAAGCAGGTTCCCTTCTGGATCCCCCTGAGCCAGGTAGGTCAGGCTGCAGCTGTTGGGCCCAGTTGAATGCACCGGGTATCCCACCAAGACAGAGACCGCCCTTAGCAGATCCTTGCCTGGAGGGTTATTTCCATGCAGACACATCAGACAATCAGGCGCTGTCTTCCATCTTCCCTGCCCTCTCCCTTTCTCAGGTCTGGTATTGAAAAGGGCAAAGACTAGGCTAGCGGCACAGCGGAGCTGCCTCAAGCTGAGGAACTTGTAAAGGAATTACACAGCTCCGGGGTCCCAGCTGTCCCAGGCACAGGCAGGATCGTGTTGCCTATAGACTGCTGTGCTCCTGCGAGGCTGGCAACGACTGGCTATAGATCAGCTCTAAGGGACCCAGCGCCGTATCCTGCTCAAGAGACCATCCTGGACTCCTACAGCTGGCGACCAACCCTAGGACAGCGTTTTGCCCTTAGCAGGAGCCTCCAGTTTACAGGATCACAGTAACGGGAGAGCCCTCTAGCCCAGCCCGCTCTTCACTCACCGGCTGTTTGATGGAGAAGTTGATCACAGCACGATACCCATCCTCAACCTGCCCGGAGCGCAATGTCACCAAATCTCTGCGCTTCCAGGGCTTCAGGCACCACCCTACACAAGGAGGAAAGAAAGTTGTGTCACCTGCCTGACCGGCACGTGGGGTCCGCAGGGACATGCAGCCACTCCAGGGGTTTCTGCCTGGCCCGACCGTCCTCTAGTTCATTTGGTGATCTCACGGTCTCCTCCGCGCAGCACCCACCCTACCCCTCAGCAGCCCAGTTGGTGCCACCTCGTGTAGCAGAGGTCCCAAGCAGTGTCCTGTGCCTCAAACATACCTTCCCAGCCTGTGGCCCCCTCTTTAACACAACCCAAAACTCATCCTTGGTTCCCCTTGGGCCTCCAGCCCCCACTCACAAGCATAGTAGCCCACATCAGCACTAGCAGCCAGCTGGATGATGTCATGCGTGTCGATGACGTCGGTGTCCCACTCCTGGCGACACTTGATGTCGTGCAGCACATCATACACCATCTTCGATGGCACGTCCAGGATGTCGATGCGGCACTGGGGGGAGCGCCGATGGCTCAGGACAGGCTCTCCCCACTGGCCAGGTGCCTGTGGGAGCGAGGGTCCCCTGTGGCCAGCAAGGCTGAGCACTGCCTTTGGGTTCCCCAAACGCCCTGCGCCCCCTCAAGGGCAGGACGGGGGATCCCATCACCCCCTCGAGAGAGAGAAGCTGAGCCCCCTGGTGGGTGACACCCGCCTTGGCCTGGCAGGAGGGGGACGAGGCAGCTGAGGAAGGCAGACGCTGAGGGGAGACGGCGCAGTCCAGCCAGCCCACCACCACCCCCAGGGCCCTCCTGGGGCAGACCCCACACCCAAGGGCCAGGCCGGTTTAAAGCCCTTCTCTTCTCGTTCTGCTCCCATAGCCACGCTTCCACCCGGTAAGCTTGCCCTTCTTCCACCATACCCTACTGGGACAGACTTGTTAAACCTACAAGTAAAATAAGCAGGGGCAGCAGAAGGCCCCTCTCCGGCAGCAGGACAGCAAAGGTGTTGGTGAAATAACTTTATTTAGTGTGATACACGGCTGTGGTCAGACAGTCCATACTCATATTAATAGTCACACTTACTCGGCTAACAGCTAGGAGACAGCAGGGCCAGACACACACTCAATATTATACATATCCATAGAGAAGACAGCGGGAAGTGAACTATTTTATTTCACTAGTTACCCCCCCAGTACTTAGGGTCTCCCCCCTCCCTCCCCCCAGGTCCGTGACTCAGAACAACACGACAGCAGAGCAGCACACACCCGCCTGTGAGAAGGGGACAGCAAAACCTGTGCTACGGCAGACACGGACACACCGACAAACATCAGCAATTCCCACACAACAGGGGTATGTACAGAGGAGGGGGCTGAGCTTCCCACCGGCACTGGGACCTGGCTACGTCAGCTGGGACTGGGGGTAAGGGGGGGGACACTCCAGAGTGAAATGGGAAACGACATCCCAGCCTCCTCCTGCAGGCCAGCTCACCCGGAGGGGAAGGGACAGGGCTCCGGGGAACAAAACAGTCAGTCACCAGCAGCGAGGTGACTTGCCACCAGTAAGCCCAGGCAGGGACTGCCAGCTCCTGGTCCGAGGCTGCCCCTTCCCCTCCCTGGACGGGCCACGGGCTTCAGAGTGCGCACGCCGTGTCAGTGACCGACAGGCAACCTGCTAGGGGAGAGTCACTAACCACCAAACGCTGTTGTCCCCACCCGTCACACCACGGTCAGTCGCTCTCCTGCCCACTAGCATCCCGCCGTCAGCATGACATAGGCCGGGTGATGAAAAGAACAGTGAATGGCTTAGAGCCACTGGACTGTTTTATTCTCCTCGCTGTCGACAAACCTACAGACTTCTGGTTAGGACAGATGGATGCAAAACCCCCAGTGAAAGTCTCTGAAAAGCTCTGTTAACATAATTAGAAACCAGGGGCAGGGGGAAGAGGAGGCATTTCCCAACCTCCCAGGTCGAGAAGCGACACCAAAATTCACTTCAGCAGCATACATTCCTCCATCCCTCTACCCAGACCTGACAATAAATCCCTGCCACTGCTCATCTCAGCTTTGGCAGTGTTACAGCTTAACACTATTCCAAAAGTGAAATGGCTACTAGCCCCATTCCCCAGAAGTCTACTACAAAGACAGAAGCAGCTACGTACGATTTCACCAAGCAGCAACCTAGGTATGAGAGTAGAAGAGCTATCGCTGGCCTTCCACACGCTGTAGCTCTCCCGCTCCACGTGAAGAAGCTCCCACTCTACGTGACGATGCTCCCACTCTACGTGACGATGAGCGGGAGAACAGAGACTAAGAAAGGAGCCTGAAGAGCATCCATGACTCCCAGGGGCTGGTATTGCCCCCGGAGTGATGGATTTCGGGTAACTGTTTGCTTTTACCTGTTGACAGACAGGATCTGGGTCTCAACAAAGCACCCTGAGGATCTCTCCCCACCCAGCCTCACACTGCAAAGCCTCTGTACCCTCTTCCTTCCCCACATCTGACAGCCAACACTCACCGAGCACCAACGTCCTCTGGATGGGAAGATATTCCAACTGAGGAGAGCAGTCTGTGTCTCTGCTACAGAAACGGGAGCAACAAGGCCAAAGCTATCAGAGTTTGGGGGTTTCCAGTGCTGCGTGTAACACGAGGGGCAAAACTCAGAAGTCGTGAGCAAGAGTTAGCCAAGATCATCCACAGAAAGGAGAAACCGAGGAGCTAATGTTGTGTGTGCCCTGCAGGAAGCAAAAGCCTAGAAACAGATAACCTGTATTGTCCAAAAAGGCAAGGCCAAGTCAAACTGACTGGTTTAAAAGGAGCAGCCTTTCAACAGGGGAAGTGGGGATGCAGGACGAAGATGGGGCTGGAGTGGACAGGGAACTAGTTAAGATGCAAGGCAGTAAGGAAGGTGGAAAGCCCACCCCCAAGCTTTATTTTTGTCTTCCCTAACTTGGTGGCTTTTCCATTGCATTCACAAGATACATCTGAGCAGACAGGCTCAAGGTGGGGAAGAGGGGGAGAAGGAGAGGAAGAGAGAGAATGTAAAGGGCACCACAGTGCCAAAGTGCAACAACATAAAAAAATAAAATAAAAGACAGGACACTCATTCTGCACTCAGGGCTCATACCATGCAGTAAGAGGGGCGGCCGGGGCTGCTCCCCACCAGTGAACAGGGAGTTCGCTCGCTTAGTAGATTGGTTTTTCAGCCCACAAAGTAGGGTTGCCTAGCCAATGAGCGGTGATGTTCTTCAGTGAGACTGGCCGGTTGGGGAATGTGCTGCTACAGAACGGGCCTGTTAGCAGGAGCACCCGCTCTCCGTTACTGGCTGCTCAGGAGGTTTCTCTAGTTTGATGTCAATCACTGCAGGAGACAAGTTAAGGAAATCACCCATCTCAAGAGAAGACAAGGAGGAGAGAGCAGAGAAAGGGATCAGGACCTGAAAAGGTTGTTAGCTGTCCCTTCTTGATAGGGGCAGGTGTTTCAGCTGAGCACATCTTGCCTGAACAGGATTAACTGCAAAACCAGCGGACTGGGTATGTCAAAGCCGCTTAGAGGATAGAGCCCAATTGGACAGGTCTGCACACGAGACAGCTCTGTGCAAAAAGAGGAAAATACTACGGCATTTTAAAACTATGCAGATTGTATCCTAAGCTTAAGCAGAGAAAGCAAAACTTGTGCTTGCCGTTCTAAGTAGCTGGGTACATCTATATATCAACCGCAAGCAGGGTCCTCAATTCATGCCCATAGATAAGCACCAGACTCTACTGGCTGTTTCAGCCATGGCTCTGCAAAACCCCAGTAAGGCCCATCCCCACAATGTGCCAAAAAAGTCAGTAAGCCCAACCTAACAAAAGAGAACTGCCAAATTCTGCGAGAACAGGAAAGTTACTGATAAGAAAAGCAAGGATACTGTCTTCTTTGCTCTTCTCTGGTGTGCTGTCCATCCCAGGTAAGGCAGCAGCCACACGACGGAAAAGCTGAAAAGGAGCAATAGGTAAAGCTGAAGGTTGGTCAGGAAAAAATGCATGTTAAAAACCATTGCTTTACAGCAGCTCTTAGAGTCCGAATTGAACAAATTTGTTACGTGGGAGCTTTAGCAAGCAAAGCGATGATCAAAAATGCCACAAGAATTTTACCTAAGAAATTTAACGGGTTTTATTAAAGAAGTTATTCAATGCCTACAAACCAGCCAGTTTTATTTTACCTGTTTCTGCTTGAACACAACATAGAATTCCTTCCTAACAGTCCTCCTAGGGAGGCACAGGCCGATTCCCTCCTGCACTCATTAAGCAGGTCATCTGCCGTTTCCAGCCTCAACTGCTTTTGCACACAGCAATGTTACAGTGCACAATTCAGGATTTCTGATAAGCAACCTCACAAGAGACCAAAGGTTTAAGAAGTTTATGGAATAACAGTGTTTACAGCCCATCCTTTCAGTTCAGTCCTGCTGCAAAAGAGCCATTTGTGAGCAGAACAGCTGGCTCAAGTGAGCTGCATTTAAGCTACTAAGGATGTGCTAGAGCTGGGAAGGACTCTCATATCCCCATAAAAACCAGACAATGGTTTTGCATAATTTTTCAAGTCAATACTTAGAGCTCCTCCTGCTGACATTAATGCAGCAGCTAACACAATACAGACACCGCTAGGCAGTCTGGTGAGAAGTGCTGCATAAAGAACTAGAGGAATCACCAGCTCATGATGATTTTTGCCACAGTAGCTCAGCAGGGGCTTCTCACCCACCCTTCCAAATTGTGTTACTTGGAAAATCAACTACTACTGGTGTCAGCTGGGAAACGTACTTACTGGTTTGCTGCACACCAGCTGGTTAGAAGAACATCACAATGGGATTCAGAGACATTGGGTTGGTTTTTATTTTGGCTATTCTGGATTAAATCCACTTTAATATTTGGTTCTAACTTACTGTTACTTTATTTGCCTGGTGGGTGTTTGCAGTGAGAACTTCTGTGACTAGGACACGAACTGCAGCACCTTGCTGGTACCTCAGTGCCTCGATTTTCCAAGTAACACAATTACTGGGCCTTGCGACTGCCTTACTCCCCAAGTTCTGTCATGCTTCAGAACGATTCTCGAACTAGTGGAGAATGGGATCACAAGCCTATAGCGAAGGGGAAAAACTGAAATACAAGAAATTCTGTTTAAACTTAAGAAAAAAGTTTAAAGATTTTTTTTGCTATATGGATAGTCAAACACTGTGACAGGTTGCCTGGAGAGATGGAGTCTCTATCCTTTGAGATAGTAAAAACCCAACTGGAGTCAGTTCTGGGCAGCCTGCTCCAAGCATGAGTGTTGGTCGGACTAGATGATCTCCAGAGATCCCTTCCAACCTCAACTATTCTAAGATTTTTCCCCTGCAGCTTGCAAACAGAAGCAGGAACTTCTACTCTAGTGCATCAGCATATGCAATTAACCTGACTGATGTCAACACTGAATTTAGAAAACAGTGCATTAACTGTTAACAAAAGCAAAGGGAACGTACAAAATTATGTTTGACTGGCCGCACAAAATAGCGGCGTTCCTAGCCCTCAGCGCATTCTGGGTTTAGACTCTCCTTCCTTTCCAGGTAAGTTTGCTTAGCTTTAACAGGGAATCATTGACTTGACAAGAAAGGAGCTTCCACTAGATAAAGCAGCAGCGACCACTGGGCAAGAAGCATTTCAGTGGTTGACAGCAAACAGTACAAGCAAATATCTGATGGAAAATGAACCCTAAGGAGAAGCTTAATCCTCCCACATACAGAGCAGTAAAGCACAAATTTCCTGTCTTTAGAACAGAGCATCGATCTACCTGTTTCACATTGTATCCAGTCTTTGCACTGGTCTCAATAAACATCACATTCAGCTCTTTGGCTCTCTGTTCACCTTCTTCTGTAGTGATTTGCCTGGACAAAGACGCAAACAGAAGCAGAAAGACAGAAAGGAAGAACAGACAGGAAGAGTTAGAGATGGCCATGACCAAGACGCTCGTCAACGGAGGGCCGCTTCAGCACCCCTGACAAGAGCGTGCAGTCCACCAACGGAGACCTCAGGACCTCTCAGCCTTTAAGACCCCCAGGTCCTCCAGCTAAGAATGAAACAACCTGGACTTAGGACTATGAGTAACGGATGATCAGCAGAGGATGAAGTTTGTGCAGTACATTTGAACCTCATTCACAGCATCCTCACGGGAAGGAAGAATCCCCATATGCTGCACCTGAGAAAAAAAGCGGTTTCCCAAAAGTCAACAGCAGGGAACTGTGAGGTTACAGAAAGATGTCAGAAAGGCTCCAGCAGCAAGTACAGTGCAACAGCAAGTGCTAGATGGCTGCGTGCGAGCAAGCACCTCCAAATGCATCTCTGATCAATACCCTGTACATACCTGTGTCACATTATATCCTGCTTTAGCACTGGTTTCAATATACATCACATTCAGTTCTTGGGCTTTTCTCTCACCCTCCTCTATAGAAACCTGTCTACAGCAATGAGAACAAATCACAGAAAAGAAAAACCAAAACAAAGAAAAGTAGTCCAAAAATGATAAAAAGAAAACTGCAGGAAAAAGACAGCCACCAACTGAAGCAACGTTAACAGGAAAGAAAAACTTCACAGCCTGCACCAAATAAGAACAGTGCTATTTTTAGTTCAGCTTTTTGGCCTCAGAACTTAACTTGCATCATCGCTTGGTTTTTACCATGGGATGAATGGCTTCCAATATGCTGTATTCTATTTTGAAAAATGTGACCAAGCTCAGACTGATACTGTGGCTTTGTCCAGCCTTTAAAGGCCCAGTATTTCAGCCTAACACAAATCTAACTTCCTTTTAAAAGAAAGGCAAGGCAGCTTCTTTTACTGACACCTGGATTCCAAATTCTAGCCTAGACCAGGACTACTGTCACTTACATTAAACTTCTAAATAAGAATTTCTAGTGCTATGTGATTTTCAACTGTAGCTATGTCTCAAACAACTCTCTGGTATTTTTAATTCTTATGGCAGTGCTGGGCCAGCTGTCCTGCACACACACTCTGCTTCGCTTACATACTATCAGGAAATAATCTAAGGCAGAAATTATCCCCCAGTTCCACATGAAATTAGATTTTGATAGGAATTTGAAAGCCTCAAATCTAAATGCCAGATTATTCAGTTCGGGAGCTGCGGTTATTTCTAGCTCCCAGGAGGGCATAAGAGGTACTAAGTGGTCAACATCCAGAGCTGGCTCAGTTAGAACGTCTTGGATTTTGCTCGGTTGCTTTTGTAAGCTGATTTCAAAGACCAGACTGAGCAGAGGTCTTGCCACCTGGAATTCTTAATCCAAATCAGCTATACACATTTTTATCATATTTCTGAAGCTCTGAGCACCAAGTTTGATGAATATTTCCAAAGTGCAAGGCACAGGACACCTCCCCACTGGAAGCGGGAATAGCCAAATAGTTGTCAAGACTAAGGTGGTCGGCATGGTGGACACAGAACACATTTCTGTAAGAACCATCAGTACAAAGCCCACGCAGCGCCCAGTTGGAACCTAACTTTATCCTTTTCCCCACTGACTCAAACCACTTCCCAGTATTAGAACTGTCTATGCTTTTCCTGCTAGACACGGCAAACAAAAAACTAACAGCAGGACTTGTACAGGGAAAAAGGGCAAAAAGCATCTCCTGACGCCACACTGCGCAGCCAGGGATGCTGCCTATTGTCTCATATGAGCATTTGGACAACACCAAGACCACAAAGGGGAAAAAACACATCACAAAACTGCAGGAGTGAGCAAAGCAAGGTTTAGAATTGAAAATGTGATAGCATTCAACAATGAAACAGTCAGATCCCTGTCAAGCCCGTCATCCCAAGAAAGAGAGTAAACAAAGGTATTGGTGCGAGATTTTTCTAAGAAAACATTTATGTTCCACCTGTAAGGCTTTTCAAGCTGTTATCTTCTGATCAGAAGCGTCTCATGAACAGCCAAAGGATGAGGTTTTGATTTCTTAAGACCCCATTTTGTCGTGAGATCCAGGTGTCTCCCAGTTCTGCTTTTTTGAGATGCTTTCTTTTGCATCAGATAAAAATTCCCCGTGACTTCAATGCTTCGTATGTCCTATGAGATACGAAGCACACATTTTAGAGTACCTGGTGTATGTGAAGATGGTATAGTTTAAAGTATTGGGACTGTAGGAACTGCATGGCTTACTCCATCTTCCCTTTGCCAACTACTACTGACACTAA